TAATATTTTACACTTTATACATTGCATGGTAAGATACATGAGTGATTTAGTACCATACAAAGTTTCTATGAGATTCAAAATTTTCACTATCTTTATCATCTCTACGTGTAGAGTAAGTGTATTGTGAAGAGTAGTCAACAAATGATAAATCCCTAAAATAGTTTTGCATGTAATTTTTAACATGCCACCCATATGAATCCGAGATTGGTTGACGTTGTTCATAAACAAAATCATTGAAGATTGGGTCTCGGATTCTTTCCATGAGCCGCTCGATTCCATCCCAAAAGGGAAAGGTCAAAGACTCACATTTTCATGTGTAAATCTAATTTTTGCAAAAACAATTCAAAACAAAACAATAAAAGTACATATTTTAGCATATTATCACAAAAACATAAGCAACATGGTGGTTAAGGCATTGGAGGAGTGAAATGGCAGGGGTTTGAATCCCATGTGTGTGTGTGTGCGTGTTTTTTTTTCTACTTTTTCCATTACATCAATATTTTTGATATTTTTGATATTATAGTGATATTATAACAAAATATTGCTGAAGTGTGAGCAAAATTATCGATATCGATATTTTCTGATATTATCGTCGATATTGTCGATATTTATACTATATGTATATGGATACGTTCTGAAATATATGCGACTAAAAAAAAACGATAATATCTTCGATATTTCATCGATATTATTGATATTTTAGATTATGATTCAAACCCCTGCCATTTTACTCATCCAACGCCTTAACCACCATGTTGCTTATGTTTGATAATATGCTAAAATATGTATACTTTTATTGTTTTGTTTTGAACTATTTTTGCAAAAATCATATTTTCACATGAGAATGTGAGTTTTTGACCTTTCCCTTTTGGGATGGAATCGAGCAGTTCATGAAAAGAATCCGAAACCCAATCTTCAAATGATTTTGCTTATGGACAACGTCAATCAATCTCAAATCCATATGGGTGACATGTTAACAATTATATGCAAAACTATTTTGGGGATTTATCATTTGATGACTACTCTTCACAATACACTTTACTTTACACATAGAGATGATGAAGATAGTGAAAAATTTGAACATTATAGGAACTCTATGTGGTACTAAATCACTCATTTATCTTACCATGCAATGTATAAAGTGTAAAATATTAGCAAATCATTATATATAAATGATTATGGTGTGTTTAATCTTCTTTCATTAATTACTACATATTTTTTACACTTACAGTGTCTGTCAGCTCACTGTATAACCAACTTAAATCAGTTAAACCCATCATGAGATGCATTTCCTTTCAATTTTTTGTGATAAACTCATAGATAATTGACTAAATAAACATCCTCTAAAGTTTCAATAAAAATTTCCAAGTTTTTCTTACAATTTCCATGGTTTTTATTCAATTTTTATTGATATCGATAATATCCCGATATTTCCATCGAAATTTCCACAATTTTGGACTACTGATATTTCCAATACCATCGATATTTTAGACCTTGGTTGTGATCAATAAAAATAACATTAAAATAACAACTATTTAATTAAGTGTTTGAATTAATAACTACGAAATCAAGTGAGTTTTTTGCAAAGATAATCTTTAAGGAAACACTTAAAATATAGACGGTCCGAATAATTCAAATAAAATATTGAGTCTCAACTCAGCTAAATATTTACAATATAGTAATAAATTGGTATTCTAATTTTCCTAATGTTATGTTTCCTAGCTATAAGTAAACCCATTCCACTAGCAATGAGTTTCAGAACGTAAATATAGACAGTTCAATGGCTTCTTCATTGGAGAGAAAAAGCCATCCCAAAATAAATCATGCTGAGCCTGAGGATGAGATTACAATGGAAGCGGACGAAGAAAGCTTCTGCTATGCCATGCAGCTGGCGACTTCTTCTGCGCTGTCCATGTCTCTGCAATCAGCAATTAAGCTTGGGGTTTTTGACATCATAGCCAGAGAGGGTCCGGGAGCCAAGCTCTCTTCATCTGATATTGCAGCCAAGATTGGCACCAAGAACCCTGAGGCACCCATGATGGTGGATAGAATCCTCAGGCTCCTCACCAGCCACTCTGTTCTTAATTGCTCTCCCGTTGCTGCTAAGGGTGGGTCTGATTTTCAGAGGGTCTACAGCCTTGGCCCTGTGTCTAAGTACTTTGTGAGTGATGAAGAAGGTGGTTCTTTGGGCCCCTTGTTGATATTGAATCAAGACAAGGTCTTCATGGAAAGCTGGTTAGTTTAAGCTCTCTTGAACCTCACTAATTAATTATATCCTTTATCCTTTCCTCCTTTATTCTTTTTTATTTTATTTTATTTTACTTATGTTTTTATATATTTACGTTTGATTAACATATTGGCATTACACATGATTATATTAAAATCAGTATAATGGGGAAACCAGAAAAGTACTTGGGAATGATCGAACTTGGGTGTAAGGGGGCGGACTCACTCTTATACCCACATTTACAGACAATCTCACTCCTTAAAATGGCATAATTAAAGTCAGTCTGGGAATCTTGGCTAGGGAAGTAACTATTAAAATTATTAATGGTCCAGCCAATAATAGAAGAAAGGCCCTATATAATTCAACTTTTATTAAGTTCCCCAAATCAAAGAAACAAACCGCTTAGTTTGTGCTAATTATAATACAAATAGCCAATAGGGTATCTAACTCCAACTTTCTGCACATAATAAATTCACAGGTGTCAACTGAAAGATGCAGTTGTTGAAGGAGGAATTCCATTTAACAGGGTCCATGGCATGCACGCTTTTGAGTATCCAGGTTTGGACCCCAGGTTTAATCAAGTGTTCAACACAGCAATGTTTAACCACACCACCATTGTCATGAAGAAACTTCTTCATATTTACAATGGTCTTGAAGACAAGAACCTCACACAACTTGTTGATGTTGGTGGTGGTTTGGGTGTGACCCTTAATCTGATCACATCTAGATATCAACATATAAAGGGTATCAATTTCGACTTGCCCCATGTCGTAAATCATGCCCCTTCCTATCCTGGTAGGACTTTAATTTATTTGATTCAATGTGAAATCTTAGTTTTTGCTTCATCGGAAGTGGTATGCAGCATATATAAAATGGAAGTTAAATATTTTTTTTTTGCAGGTGTGGAACATGTTGGAGGAGACATGTTTGCTAGTGTTCCAAGTGGGGATGCCATTTTTTTGAAGGTAATTTTTGGATTTCTCAAGCATTAAATTTTTGGTTTTCTTGTTAGTAGTTTAAGAATGGTAACTAAATATATGAAGCTGTTCTACTTGTCTTCTGACACATTTGTTTGTAGTGGATACTTCATGATTGGAGCGATGAGCACTGCCTAAAGCTGTTGAAGAATTGTTACAAAGCTATTCCAGACAATGGAAAAGTGATTGTTGTGGAAGCACTTCTTCCAGCTATGCCAGAGAATAGCACTGCTACGAAAACCACTTCCCAACTTGATGTGGTGATGATGACACAACATCTGGGAGGGAAGGAGAGGAGTGAACGAGAATTCACGGCCCTGGCAACTGGTGCTGGATTTAGTGGCATCAGATATGAATGTTTTGTCTGTAACTTTTGGGTTATGGAGTTCTTTAAGTAACCAAGGCATATGAAAACTTACACTAAAATGAAGGTGTTAGTCTCCAAGCCTAATAAAAGACTGGCAAATGTTTCTTATCTATAAGCAAGAAAATATATATATATATAGATACTCATTCAAAGATCATCTCTACAAAAAATCACTTGAATCCGATATCATTTGACCACTCAATTGAGTTATTGAAATTTTAGTACTTTCTTGAAGCACCGTGTTCATTGATTTTGTAAGACACAATTGGATGTCGAAACGGTTTCCGATTTGTCTAATTTTTTGTAAGGATGATCTATGAATGAAGACCTAAAAAATATATAATTTGGATCATTGGAAAAAAAATTGTAGAATACCCTAAAGGGCGTCCCTCAAATAAAATTATCCCTCAAATACTACTTCCAGCTATGGCAGATACTAGCACTGCTGTGAAAAGCACTTCCCAACATGATGTGATTATGATTACTCAAATTCCGGGAGCGAAGGAGAGGAGTGAACAAGAATTCATGGCCCTGGCAACTGGTGCTGGATTTAGTGGCATCAGATATGAATGTTTTGTCTGTCACCTTTGGGTTATGGAATTCTTTAAGTAGCCAAGTGATATAAAAGCTTACACACTAAAATGAAAGTGTTCCGAGCCTGTGCTCACATCGCATCAACAACAAAAACACTCAATTCAAGCCTATTAAAATATTCGCAAATGTTTCTTGTCTGTAAGCAAGAAATTATTTAAGACTCAGAACATTTTGTCGGCAGATTATTTTACTTTTATCTTTCCCTTGTAAAGTAACAGAAGAGACGTAATGACCTGAATTACAAGGTGCGGAAACAAATTATTGTACTATAGTTACATGTATCTCGCAGACAAAGTGAAGAATGTTCACATATTTATCAACAAGGAGTTTTTTCATCTGCCATAAAGTGGAGAGATTACTGGAGACTCTCAGACTCCATTGCTATCCTCTCGAGGAGTACTACATGCATGAATGGCCCTCCAACCCTCCATCTTTCAGGTACATAGAAGTATACAAGAAAGAGGTCAACATGGATTAATTAAGGTTGATTTACTCTTAATTACTCTACAATGGGGATTAATTAAGGTTAAAGGTTAGGAAATTATGCATTAAGAGAAGAAAATGAAAGAGATCAACTATCCAGTAGAACAAATCTTTCATTCTACTTTGGTCAACGAGTAAAACAAATCTTTCTAATCTTCCTTTTCTGGACACAAAACACAGAGTTCAAAAGTTAAATTGAGATATGCATTTTTTATATATCTTAGCCAAAAAGGCTCTACAGCTTTAAGCCTTTAGCCCTGGTGTGTGTCCAAGTACTCTGTGACAAATGAATGGTGCTTCCTTGTGAAATTCTATAGTGAGGGTGCTATATATGGACTTTCATATTAGTCATATGATCATTTCATTATCTTAAGTAAGGTTACTATTTAGATGAATCGTGTGATTAATTAGCAATATATTGATGAAAATGTCAAACATCATGTCTTGATCATATCAAGATTTATATTGGTGAGCATGCAAAATTAGCCAATTAAGTAGAGATTAAGAAAAACCATTTTCTAAAATAGCCAATCAGCAAAACCAATTTACTAGATTAGTGCAAAAGATAATCAATCTTCTTGATTCAGAGCCTTTGTCTAATTCACAAATGAATAGGTCACACGCGGTATGCCTGTGTAAAATATCATATTTCCAAATTCCACTAATAAAGTAACATAATTTTAGGCGTTCATCATGCTACGGGGTCCTTGTCGATTCATTAATTCAATCACTCAACACCTACCACTTTTGGAAAAGTTGTTTGGTAATTGGTACATACCATCCTTGATACATTGTCACTGTGGGAAAAATTATAATAAAGATAACATATTAGGCAGTTTTCTTTCATCGAGGATTCTCGAAATAACTTGATGTAATCGGCATCTTGTGTGTCTTGTCCAGGTTGTACGGGTGGTCAGGGTTCTTCTTAATTGTCCAGTAAGAGGTGTATTCTTTGGTGAAGACGTAAGCCAGCTCCTTGAAGCTGCTGATCGACTCGGATGGTAGAGTGTGGAATCAGTCTTGGGCTACTCCTAACACTTTTGAAGTGTTTTAGATGGCTCTTGGGATCGGAATCCCATTTGAAGTGTGTGAACGAAGGCGTTGAGAATCGCTTCGGGAGAGCAGCCTACTCAATTTCGGCAGTGAAGGCGTAGAGTTTGCCTGGTCCATCTCCTTACGTAGTGCATCCTCGAAATTTTCGCCGATCTTCAAGTCTCGAAGTCAGTTATTCACAAGCTTCTCAACGTCTTCCGCACACATTGATGTTTGGTCACTTTGGCGACCTTCGCGATTTGAGCGATGATGATTGACTTCCTCGTTGATTTGCAAGGGTCGACTTTCTCGGCTGCGCTGCCTAGGTGGCATGTAACATTATAATTAAGCACACATTATTAACAAATTCTTTTTAATTAAGTTAAAAATGTAATTTAATTATTTCATTGTAAAATTAAAATATTGGAGGTCCAAAACCATGCAATTGAAGAGGCCGTGATCGACAACATGTTGAAAGTAGCAAGGGAGTCTTTTCATCTGCCAGAAAGTGAAAGGCTCAAGTGTTTCTTCGACGACCCGTTGAAGACCACAAGACTGTCCACCAGTTTCAATGTCAAAATTGAGGAGGTCTCCAGCTGGAGAGATTACTTGCACTACTACAAAAAAGGAAAAAGACGACGGGAATTCACCGTCGTGTATTCGGTTTTCAAACCGTCATGAAATCGACCGACATCTATTTGGGTGTCAAACTACGACGGCTTTTCACCGTCGTTGTTTATCTGTAACCACGATGATTTTTAAAGAAAATCGTCGTTGTTTAGAGGTAAAGATCGTTAATTATAGGAGAAAAGACAACTGTTTTTAATAAAACCGTCGTGTATTGTATTTAAAGAGGACAATTCTTTATGAAAACCGTCATGGATTGTTTATAAAGACGACGGTTGTTTTATAAAAACCGTCATCTTTATATTCAATAGACGACCCTTTTTTATAAAAAAAAAAAAAAGGGTCATCTTTACATATAATAGACGACG